TTTCCCTTAAACAACCTAGAACAAGCTCTCTAGATTCAATCCAAAGAAAGTATTAGGTTGAGAAAGATAGGTTGATCTAAGCAATAAACACACAAGTTTGAAATATTCAACATAGGTTATGTTCCACATACAATCAAATAACAAGCCTCCCGCAATTATTGATCACAATTCGCCACCGATAATTAGAAACTCAAGACAATTACAGATCACGAATTTCTAACCTAGCAATAGATAATTTTCATATCCTAATTAGTTGCGCACCCAAATAAAATAAGAAAATAATTATGAACAATTAAATTGAAAGAACATAAATGAATTCTACTGAGAAATTAGAAACAATATCAAATCATCCAAACATAAATTCCATGTCTAGGGTTTCCACATCACCCTTAACCAAGAAGAAATCTAGCCTAGTATGATTATAAAATAACGCGAAGAAAAATAAATGGAAAGCATGTGGAGTTCAAAAGAAAGAAAGAAAGAAGAAAAACTCTTGATGATTCTTGAAAAAAATCTTCACACGATGAATTCTCCTTGAATTTATGGTAAAAATCTCCTTATTCTCCCTCTTTTTCTCTCCAAAAGGTGACTGGAAAAATATGAGAAAGGACCCCAATTTAATTCCAGAGTCCCATATTTATATGTTTCTAAGTTGGGGTCAAATAGGATTAAATTTGGGCCCAAACAGAGCTTTCTTTGTGGCTAAGTCGGCAAAATTCAAAACAGGTCGTAGATGGGCACGTTAGGGATTGCAGGCGCGCGGCTAGGCTGCTCTAGTGCGCAGCCCTCTCGGGTGTGCAGGGCGCAGGCGGGCAGTGCCTGCTGTTCTGGGCATCGCTCTAGTGCCGAGGTGTTGGCGCGAGGGCGGGCAGTGCCTGCTGTTCTGGGCAGCGCTCTGGTGTTGAGGTGTTGGCTCGAGGGCGGCCAGTGCCTGCTGTTCTGGGCAGTGCTCTGGTGTTGAGGTGTTGGCGCGAGCGTGCAGCCTGCTCGGCTAGCAGATCTGCTGTAGCGCCAACTTAATTTTTTTTTTGGAAAAAATTTTGTTTTTCTTTTCCCTTCTTTTCTAAACATGCCCTCATTGCATTTTCTTCATTTTAGCACCTAAGTTGACTCTGAAAAATTCTAAAATATGTCGTATTCCTTGCTAAAATTGTTGCTTCATTATCTTTTGATTCCAAACACCTACAAAACACGAAATACTAATAAAAACTCTAAAACTTGAGAGTCAAACAAGGAAAATATAGAGAAATTCAATGAAAAATTTAAAGAACTATGCAATTATCACCCTCTACATACTACACTACAAGAAAAAGGGATTTTTGCGATGACTTTTTGTCGTCGTAAAAACCCGAGTGTCGTCGCAAATAACAGTTTTTGCGACGACACGCTGTCACAGATATGTCGTCGCAAAAACTTTTTTTGCGACGACATAGTGTCGTCGCAAATGTATTTGCGACGACAACTTTGTTTTTGCGACGACAAGCGTTGCTAATACGCCGTTGCAAAATTCTCGTGATATGATCTTTTTTGCGACGACATTTTTCAAAATGTCGTCGCAAATAATCTTACTTTTTTGCGACGACAAGTCTATAAAAGTCGTCGCAAAAAACTGAAATAATTTTTTTTATAATTTTTAAAATATGGCAATTAATTAAGTTTTAATAATTTTAATTAAACATTATTATGTTACATACTGAATATAATTTATTAAGATACATTAAAAGTGAAATATAAATTAATATTAAAAACAATAAATCTAAATAAATTTATAAAATATATTATGAATACTACATGAAGTGCATATATAATGTTCAAAAAAATATAAAAGTCTAAAGAATGTGAATAATAAAATAGTACATATAACGAAACTAATCGTCTAAGTTTGTAGCATCGCCAACAACCGAATCATCATTAGGACTGTCATCATCTGAAGAAGGCATATCACGAGCGTTTAGGTCAACTGGTTCTGGACGATCAATCGTAGGTAATTGGATGTTGGGCTACAATTTAGACACCAACTCTAACATCTTCATCTGATTGTCATAAATCTTCATTTGTTCCCGGTACGATTTCTTTAAATAACGATCCATACGTGGGTCAGGTTGAGCTGAAGATGTTGTGTCCGAGAATGAACCAGCAGATGAAAGAGAAGCCCCGGAGTAATGCTTTTGGGAGAGTGTCGGACCCACTCCTATCTTATGTCCTCTACGCATGCCAAGAACTTGCTCCAAAATCCTATGCTTGTCAAGGGGGGGTCTAGTCGAGCTTGAAGTAGTCTGTGTTCTCTGCGTTTGTCTCTCATCCTCCAGGGTGTTCTACATAATAAGACATTATAATTATTTTTACGTGTTATAAAACCACTATTTCAGTATAAACAAATTTAATATGAAAAGTAAAAATACTTACGAAAGTCTGTTCCGCATGGGTATTAACCTAAGAGTCCCCGCGACGATGCATGTCCGCCCAATTGTCTATGGCAGACATCGGCTCTTGGGTCTTCGTACTGGCCTGTCAAATAAATTATATTTGTTAAAATTCTTAAATTTTAACTAAATTTCGGCAGCATAACGACTTATTTTTCATATGATCCAAAAATCAAAACCTGTAAAAAAAATAACTTTAAAAGATTTTGGCACACCATAGCTACCCAGAACAAGAATCACAAACATATAAATACGATAATGTAGTCAAAAAATAAGTACTAACCTTTTTATTATGATGCTGAGAGTACGATATCCGACCATGTAAGCTTGGATACTTTTGGTTGCTGCGATTAGTTTTATTTATCTCTGATATTTTCTGTTTATGATTAACTATAATAAGTAATAGTTACTTGAAATTATGTATAAAAAATCATCAAGTTCTAACAAAGCAGAAATCTTACTT